GGAACCCAATGTTTAGGGAACACATACCACGTTATATTTATAATGGGATAAAGTCAGGAAAGACTGTTAGCCTCATGAGATACTTTGTAGACACTTACATCAAATATTTTTAACAGAAACAGTAGCATTTTATGGAAAACCATCCACTACAAAAAATGTGGAGATACTTGTAATAGAATTGATACTTTTCGACCATCACCACCGACAATTTTAGAGCAAATGCCTTGGTGAATGTTAGCTGAAGATTGAACGCCATTCGTTTCTTAACTCAAGTGACTACACATCTCATCAAAATTATTCAGGGTTGTTTAAATTTTGTGGATTTAAGGGTCTATAAACGACACATAAAGAAACGTTTTTTCTTATCTCAATTCAGCATCTTCAAAAATAGAGCTAAAATCTTGAAGATATCCTCCAAAATGTTTGTTGGACTTCTGTATACATATATTTTTATTCTCAACCTACTGTTTATAGATTTGGACGCACTACACATACATATACGTATATATAGTTTCAGCCGTACTACATAATGTACTGTAAAGAAGAATTTGTTAATTAACGGCTTCCTAATCCTTTGCTGATTTGGAGCAACCGGAATTCATTATGCGTACATTATTTTTGCCTGCACTAACGAGCCAGTTGAGCATCTACGCCTTTATCCAATAAAGGATAATAACGTCAGCACAGTAAAAGCTCACAACCTAATTCAGGTTTTCAGCTCAAAAATTCTGTACAAGAACATTTCTAACCGTTATATCCACTTAAAATGAATAAGACCTCGCAGTAATGAGCACGTCATTTTGTAACGCCTTTCACTCCTCCTAGATTAGATGTACTTAAAGAACGAAATAAAATCTTTTATTTTGAATTTTCCATTCCAAACCACTAAGGTGTTACAAAGGACTTGTTATTTGTTCATCATCCTGTTTAACCATCACATTCTCTGCATAAACTATAGTTGGTCCTTACCTAGACGTGTAACAAAAAAGCCCCTAGAACTATCATCATGATGACTTGACTGTTCCAGTGACATATGGTCGGTCGTCATCGTCGTCTTTCTTTTTCCTTCGAAAAAAAAAAAAACATTCGTTCCATGGAGAATTGGCAGGCAGCATGAGCATTCCACGGTCGGAAATAAACGTTCCGGACGACCTCGATCCAACGAAACCCGAATAGAGCGTTCGCTTAAGGGATAAAATAACTTGGTACGTCGCCGCTCAGCAGGGGTGCTGCTGTGTGCTGCTTCGAAGAACGTTTGGGGTGGGTTGCACATACTAATCATTTCAGAACCCTTGTCACGGTACTGAAAATCGATCATTAAAAATGGCTGACTGCTATACGACCATGGGTTTCATTTTGTTGCTTGCACAAAGGGACTTGTAATCTTCTTCCATACCATTTGCACCATTAGTGACTCAGGTCATTAATAATAGCATGCCCTACGTGTGCTTTTGAAAGCCCATAAATACATTCAGGTACCTTTGCACACTTTTAAATGGGTGTGTAAAATTAATATTTTCCTACATTTGCAAGAAAATCAAAAAGAATTTTTGCTACATTTGCAAGAAGAATATGTCGAAGTAAAGTAAATAAAACGCTAAAACTGATGCCGGATGAGGATTCCATCGGAAATGGAAGGACCTCTGAAGAAAGAAGTTCACCAGTCCAACCGACAACGGCCTTTAGATCTGAATCAGGACAATATCAGTTCACCTACTGGCTGCGAAAGCCATTATCAATTCGTCAAAACACTAAAAGCTAACATTCTATACAAATCCGTTTAAAAAACATAAAACGCTTTTCGACATGCATGGTCTCATCCTTACCCACATTTAAAACTCAAGGTGCAATCCATTTCAGGACTATTCGTTAATTTAAGGTTGACTTCACTAAATCTGGTTTCAAAAATTGTACTCGATGCCCAATAGTAGTCTTCCAAGACTTTGGGTACCTATATCTACCTATGTAAATAGGGATATCCACTTAGAGAGGTGGTTAAATATTATCTTTAACAAGAAAAAACATTTTAAGATGTCTTTACTGTTTGGAATATCTTTACAAATTCATTAATGTTTATGAAAATCGGTAAATGTTGACATAGCTAGGCTGTTTTCAGAGAAGATAAACAGTGGATACCTACACTCTTAAAACAAAAAAGCCATTTCAATAATTTCTTAACGTAAAAATCAATATAATTAGCCCATTATTTCAAAAAATATTTTAATTAGTAGGTAGGGTACATTTTAGTTAAATTGAAACTATAATCCTGCTGTTTTCGGAATCGCTAAACTTCCAGGAATATTTCACAAGTACCTATCTTTGTCCACACTAATCACTCTTCGATATTGCTAATGATTCCTAATGTTTACTCTGATAATTATATGAGGCACCAATAGCAATAAATATTCTTCCATGAATTTGCTGATACAATACACTGACCGTAAGAGGATTTGTAATAAAAGTCCAAGACCGTCGGAAGGAATGTTGCCACCAGATTAAAATTCTGAGTACTGGTTCACGCTTCACAGCTGTCTTAGCTCTAATAACTCTAGCTATCATATAAAAAACGTCTAGCCGACCAAGGTAGACACATTAATGAAACGTAATATTTTCGGTGGATTGCGATCTCCTGTTCGGCTTTGATCGTCAGTAGGTCAGTGGCCCCTATCAGCTGATCAAAGATACTATCTGTCCTGCAAACATTTACTGCCTTCTCCGAATTCGTTGTCTAGAGACCAATGAAAGCGTTGAATGAAAAGCTTGAACCCGTTCATCTCATTTTTGAAAAAATATTGACTAAAAACCTTAACTTTAAGTTATCAATAATGTTTCAATAACAATTTTTTATCAGCAGCCATCATTAGTTCCACTGAAACCGTGGAAATAAAAATTTTAAATTTTTGTTCTCATTACCTCCGAAGATTGATTGTGTGTGTGTCAAAATAAAATTTGGAGCTTTTTTCCATCATCATCATAAGGTCGTCAATCCTAAGATTGGTTGATCACGCACTTCCACTCTTTCCTATCCTGAGCTAATCTTCGCATTTCCCTAAAACTAGAACAACCCACATCCTTAACTATTTGCGAACAGTAATCCAATCTGGGTCTACCTGTACTCCTCCTAACTCCCGTTTCTGCTTCTAATATGTCTCTGACTAGACTCTCATGCCTGAGAAGGTGTCATACAAACCTATTTTTATTGACTTACATTAGAGTAGAGATATAAAGCAATGGATAGCGCAGGGTCGAGTATCCATTGCTTTATATCTCTACTCTAATGTAAGTCAATAAAGCAATGGATAGCGCAGGGTCGAGTATCCATTGCTTTATATCTCTACTGCTTCGCCGCCCTGACTTATCTGCCTTCCTAGATAGTTAAAATTAGTCACTTTTTCTAATTTTTCGTCTCCTATCTTTAAATTCGCTCTTTCTCTACTTTTTCTTCCCTTGCATACTAATATTTTTGTTTTACTCTTGTTTATTTTCATACAATACCGTTTTTATTTTATTTAAAGCTATCTCTTCCTTGCTAGATGCTAATACTGCTATATCATCTGCAAATCTAAGCATACTAATCTTTTGCCCCTGTATATCTATCCCTACAGTTGTGCTGTTTTTAATGATGTTGATCGGTGACAGTGTGCATCACTATTTGACTCCCTTCCTAATATTTTTCTTCTCTTTTTAGCTTATTTTTGTAATAAATAATAAATAATAAACGAACAACTTTTACACAAGAGTACAAGAAGAGGAAGTGATAGAAGGACACTCGTCGAGAAAAAATAAGTTCTTATGTAGGTGCATGTCGAAATGAAAAGGTGGATGGCTACTGTTATACGTTAATAGTACCCATAATATCCACATGTGCGCGTTGCGTTGAAGAGCGAAAAAAATAGTCGAAGTACCTGTTACTACAAAGTTCAATAAACGTATAAACTGTTGCAAACGTTCAAAACAGTCGTGCATTTAGTACCTCACTCACCAACTAACTAGTAACTCACGATCAGGTACGCGATATAATACGCTGCTAAAGCAGATGATGTTTCCGTTTCAAGGCACGTACTTCTTAGGAAAGTCCAAGTCCAAGTCCAACGTCCTTCAAGCTTGCCGCCTGTATAGTTAGCAGGAGACCTTTCTTTTTAGTTTACTTTTCGTCTTTTAGAACGACAACTTGGCTCTACGCCCATACTATGGCATCTAATCCCAAAGAATTGACGGAAATGAACGAGAAAGACAGAGAAAGAGCAATTTTATTTTTGAAGGTCATATCAGACTTAAATTCCACGATTTTAGAAAGATGGGCTACAATTGAATAATATAAAAAGTTGTTAATTGCAAAATTGAAAGGTCTACCTAGGTGCATACACTTAAGAGGAGACAGGTAAAAAGTCTAATGAGAAAAGAACTTCGAAAATCCGAGTTCTGCATAATGTTACCTAGTATAGATTACACTCAAAAGATTTTTTAATACACAAATTACCAAAAAGTTAAATAGATGCCGTAAAACAGTTTTGTATCACCTTCAGGTGATTATGGATAACGCTAAATAATAGGACTCATACTCTTACAGGCAGATATAGTAAAAAGTGAAAACAATAACCCCGACCACTATGCTAATTGGTGAAGGTTCCTAGCGCTATCTTTTAGTACAGAATTGGCAGAGACAGCACTGTATGAAGTAATGAAGCTATAAACAAATATGTGTTTTTTTTTCGAAAATCTCAAAAGCAAAAGCTCTGCATGTGAAGGCAGTTCATTGTTGGATAGCAAATAGCATGCTTTCATACTAATCTGTTCGTAACCAATACAAACTTAATGGTGTTTATAGTTACATACTTAATTATTACATACCCATATGCACTTCGAAATACCTTTCCATTATCAATTATCTAACAAAAACAATAATTAACGTAAGAAAATGCATAATCAGCAACAGTTTCACTTAAAAGGGTAGCAGTTCTTGTTGTTTAGTTTATTTACTTACATATAATGGTGATTGTTTATCTGAATGTAATGTTTAGCTGCTGGGTGGTCTTTTTATGATTAAATAATCATAATGATAATGAAGTGAAGTGAATTTTGTGAAGTGTCCATGCTTATACATCTACAGCAGCTACATTTCTTCAAGAATAGTTTACCAGAATTCTTACTGTATCTAGTTAGAAGTTTCGAGTTGCCCATTACTGTCTATAAGTGGCAAGTTTGGAATTTGAAAAATATTTTTTTTGTTGATTTATTCCCACTAGCTACTAATGTTGGTGGACGCCAGAGGCTAGGACGGCAAACTTCTTCAGTCTCCTTTAGGAATCGTGGGAATGGGTGGATGGTGAGAGAAAGATAAGATGGGTGAAAAGGAAACTACAGAAAAACTTGGATCAGCTCAAAGGAATCAGCAGGTCCTTACAGTAAAGAATCATAACCACGTTTACAGGGAGAGACAAAATATCTTCTTTAACGATAAAAAACGAATTTGACTTCTGGATTGAATGTGTTGAACAAAAAAGTTATGAACATTTTCCTCTTCTAAATAGATTTCTTGAAAATAAACAGTAATATGCAACCTCAGATGTGGTATTGAACCTCAAGAAATCCTTGAAAGAATATATAACAGAGGAGTTACAGAATTGCCACTGAGTACAGAATCCATTCGCGAATCAGACTAAATCATCAATGTTCACAGAGTTGGAGTATGAAAACTTGACCGATATTAAGAATGCAAATTTGAATCAACCTCTGGATCGAATTTAATGATGAATTTTATTATTTTCTTTATTCCTTGCGAGCTTTTCAGCTTACGACATGTACGCAATAAGGGGTCAAGTGTCTTAGACATAAAACTATTGTCAGTGTATTTTTTTGTCGTGACGGGTTCCGCTAAAAAAAAGTGGTCAAAAAGGGTTCCGTAGCAAAAAAAATTGGGAACACTGCTATGGGCTATATGCCGCTCGGCAGTGGAGTTTACATTCGTCCATCGCTTTAGATCGTTCAAGTCAGCTGTTCAGCTGTTGCCCCTCGCCAAGTTGTTCGTCGCCTTACCGCTCCTTTCCCCGTTACACTTTTCCTCGTAACCGTCATCCAATCCATCTCCTCACAAGTACAAAGGCTTACTCGAATCGTGGCAGCAGTTCTCCCCAGCTTCAGCTTCAGCCCACTCGCCCGCTACATAGCCGCCCGTCTGCCGCGGGTACCCCTCTGCTCGCTATACTCCCCCATCGCCTAGGCAACAGCAACAGCAGTGCGCACACATTGAGAACAGTTCGACCGAAGCTTTTAGGAGATTACGGACGGGAATTATTTAGATGCCTTATATTCTTGTGGTGTTCGTTTTGTTTTCGGTTTTGTTCTACGACTGCATACCAACAACTGCATCAATTGGTCGAGTGGAATGGAGATTGGTGTTCTTTGCTACCCGTACCGAGTGTTTGTAATTAGATTTTCAGTGATTAGTGGCCAGTGTCTTTGACCGACTCGTAACATTTACCCTCATATCGATTTTGATGAATTTTTGTTTAAACTATTTTCGAAAATTCTACTAAATATAGATAAGTAAGCTGTGATTTTCTAAGTAACTAATTTAGAGGATTCACTTCATTTTCTCGTTAACATAATTCATCACATTCCTATGTTGTACGCCTTTGATATACTTTCCATATTCGCAAAAATTCATTTTTGGAATTCGTACCTGGTTGAGAGTTTAATGGTGAGGCAAAAAAAAATGGTATTACTAAATTTTTTTATTTATAAAATTTTATTCGAAAGTTGTTACTAAACGGATCATTAGTGAATATTAATATTTTATATGCCAATGTTGATATAAAGAAGTAAAAAGTATTTAAAGCAGAAATCCTATTTCACTAATTTAGTAGGTGCCTAGGTAAAATGCTTTTCCTTTACAGAAATAGGCGTTAAAAACATTTGTTCTGTGAAATTGTGAAAGTATGTCATAACAGACATAAACATCCAAGTTATTATCATCATTTTGTGAGAATATAAGGTGAATCTTTTAAATTTACTCACATCAGGTAAAGATTTTGTTTAGTGCATTGGGAGTGAATAGCAGGTAGCTAGAACCCACGCAGTACTACTGGCCAAAATCACCGAGATTGCAATTCCAAAACTTTTTAAACGTCACCCTAAAATGTGAACTCTAAAGACTGTCAATAATGTAATTCCCACCTAACATTAGGTCCACATATTTTTATTGGATCAAACCTTATTTGTAGATACACATTGTTAATTGTATAATACATTAATATTTAATATACGATAACAGTTATGTAATTGCTGCTCATTGAAATAATAAATAAATAGGTAGTTGCTGTTAATGATGATCAATAACGTTTTGTAAGTAAAATTAGGTAGATATTAAAATTGAAAACTTTTTGAAATTTTTTCTCACTTTTCGACATTGGCAGATAAAAAATTAATATTTTAGACGCATCAAAGACAAGTGCGATATTCTGAAAAAGTGGTAAAAAAGTACAAACAGCACAGCAAACAACATTGGCATATTATAAAATGTATCTTTTTTCAGTAGCTCTTAAAAATAAAACAGTACTTTTTGAGAATTTGAAGTTACAAATGCACGAGTCAATGAGTTTTTTCTTTCTTTTGGAGTAGCACATAATTCTCTTTTTAAAGCATTTTCGTTTTTTTTTTTATTGAATTTGTGTCTTGAAGTTCAGGTCGTAGTACCTATACCGATTAATTTTATGCTACCTCTGTATTTCTTCTGCGTTCCGGTTCCATATTTCATTGAATTTATAATTGACAAAAAATTATTCTCTGAGTGGTCTTTTTCTGGTAGCTATTCCAAAACATTTCCTATTTCGTAAAAACAATTAACATCTTAAAGTTTTGGTTAAGTAACAATCAACATAGACGACAGGTAAGTATATATAGTTATTATTTTGTCGTTAATTAAGTGCTTATTGTTCCAATGGCAGTAAATTATTAGGTCCGTATTTAATATTATTTAACTGCAGGTACCTACCTACATAAAATTAGCATGTTGTTTTGAATGAGATTCTAATATTACAATAAAATGAAGTTTCTGATGACTTATTAATTATTTAATTTATGATCTGGTAAATTATTGCAGTATATTAGAAACAGCTCGAAGTTTGATTATTATAAATAAGTTTAATTTAGAGTTACCACTGGTACACCATCGTTCTATTAATAACGTTCTAGATGTAGGATACGAAGAGAATAGGGTGCTGTTAGTAATTAGATTCTTTATTTCTTCCAAACATTAAACAGATGTTACTTGGAACCTGTTATTAGATCATAAACAGAAATAATGTTCTACCATCTACCGGAACAGCCACTTTTACAATTAACGTTGTTCAATAATGTCCACATCTGTTCATATTGCCGTTATTAAACGAAACAGGCAGTTTGTTACCTATGAGAACAACAGAATCTACCGTCTACAACAGTGTTCACAACCTGAAGCGAGGAAACTATCGTACCTGTAGCGTAGAATTATCGTACATGGAGCAAAATTATCGTACTTTTCAAAATAATCACTATAATTAGTAAATTACTCGTATTAATCGGGTAAAAAGACAGACCTGAACTACCTCCACCCTTTAAATTAAAAATCAATAATAGAAAAATACATAAATATAACAAGATATAGACAGTCGAGGTATGTTAGTGGGGTGTTTTTGACCTTAGGCTATGGTTAGTGACTACATGACTACAATCACAAAATTGTGGATGGGGAGACCATCGACCCATCTGGTGACCAACACGAAGGGATGTTACCTGCCGAGGAAAAACCTACATAACGTTCTTTTATTGCAGGCACGTTCTTTTAAATTTAACACTGCCTATAACAAAAATGTTTATAGCGCTGTGAGCAGAAAGAAAAAGAAATATTCGCGAATAAAAAAAAGTCTTCGTGATATTGTCTGAGAGGGTAAGAATAAACTAAATTTTGAATGCATGAAAATTATCGTACAATCTGCGTACGATAATAATATGATATCGTACATCGTACGTAGGCATGAAATTATCGTATGTGTACGATAATTATCGTACGGTTCCGAACACTGTNAATAGCAGGTAGCTAGAACCCACGCAGTACTACTGGCCAAAATCACCGAGATTGCAATTCCAAAACTTTTTAAACGTCACCCTAAAATGTGAACTCTAAAGACTGTCAATAATGTAATTCCCACCTAACATTAGGTCCACATATTTTTATTGGATCAAACCTTATTTGTAGATACACATTGTTAATTGTATAATACATTAATATTTAATATACGATAACAGTTATGTAATTGTTGTTCATTGAAATAATAAATAAATAGGTAGTTGCTGTTAATGATCGTCAACAACATTTTGTAAGTAAAATTAGGTAGATATTAAAATTGAAAACTTCTTGAAATTTTTTCTCACTTTTCGACATTGGCAAATAAATTAATATTTTAGGCGCATCAAAAACAAGTGCGATATTGTGAAAAAGCCGTAAAAAAGTACAAACATCACAGCAAACAACATTGGCATATAATAAAATGTATCTTTTTTTATTATTTTTTATTTATTCACGAATATCTAATTTGACCCCTTCAAAGTAATCCCCACCAGATATTATACACTTGTGCCAACGTTTTTTCCAATTCTGGAAAATCATTTTTTGTGATCTTGTTCAGCGCCTCATTCGCTGCCGTCTTTATCTCCTCAATCGTACTGTAGCGTCGTCCTTTCATGGGTCCTTCAATTTCGGGAACATAGGGGGCCAAAAATCTGGGGAATACGTTGGCTGCGGTATTATTAGTGTGTTGTTTTTGGCCAAAATTCGCGCACAAACAACAATGTATGAGCAGGGGCGTTATCATGGTGCAAGAGCCAATTATTGTTCTTCCACAAATCCCCGCGTTTCTGGCGGATTGCTTCGCGCAAATAGCGCATTACTTGAAGGTAATATTTCTTATTGACTGTTCTCTTGATGCACCACGCCCTTGCATTTGAAGAACAACGTCAGCAAAATCTTCACATTCGACGTAACTTAACACGCTTTTTTCGGTCTTGACTCGTGCGGTTTCCATTGGGATGATTCAGCTTTGGTTTCCACGTCATAACCATAAACCCATAATTCGTCACTAGTTATAACCCCTGGAGCAAATATGGGTCGTCGCGGACAGAATCCAACAGCTCCTTAGTAACGTTCATGCGATGCTATTTTTGGTCGAAATTGAGCAATTTTGGTACTAATTTCGCGGCGACCCGTCTCATGCCCAAATCATTGGTAAAAATCGAATGACAAGAACCAATCGATATGTTTAGGTCCTCAGCAACTTTTCTAATTTAGATGATTGGTTAATACTATTTTCTTCACTTCATCAGTTTTCGTCTCGTGTGTCCGGCACGCTCTTCTTCGTTCACATCTTTCGGCACTCTGAGAACACTCTATACCACCGATGAACGTAGCTTCGGTCCAAGGTAGCTTCACCATATGCCACAGTCAACATTCGAAATGCGTCCGCGCATTTAATTCTGTTTTTCACACAAAATTTGATGTAGATGGTTTAAACCATTTTTTTGAATAGGTAAAATCGAAGACAAGCCGAATCACTGGCAAGCAAAGCAGCTGTCAAAAATTAATTGAACATTCAACGTGGCCGAACTTGTCGGTATAAGTGAGAGACATGAGTACCAACATAACACCAACAATAAAGTGAAAAAGACCATTTCACATAACTACATGTAGGGACCTATAATTTGAATGACCAGAAAGCAAAATATTTTAAGGATTCGTTTTTTTTGCATAGCATATAGCATGCGAAAAATTCCACTATATTTATTTTTCTTTGTACTGAAAGGGAGAGAACTGTTCGTAGCAATTTAATTTCCGTTTCGGAACTTTCGAGTCTTCCGAAACCACGTTATCGGAGTAGACGCAGCTGACGCACACACGAAAGCTCGCACGCACCCCTGTAGCAATTCGGGACAATCCAACCCCTCAAACTGTACCGCAGCATTTTCGTTTTCATTCTCTCTTTGCTTAATAAGAAGCACGTTCAAACTAAAATATGTATGTGCGTATTATTAAGGTGACCATATTTTTTTATTTTAAATCCGGGACGGGAACTTGTAGCGGGGGCGGGGGTAGTTAAGTTAAATAACTTAAATATGATTTTTTTAATAA